ATCCTGAGGCTGACTTACTCGAGTACTGAACTTACGTTTTGACAGCGATGTAACAAATATGATTTACTAGCATACTAAGTTTTGTTATTGTGTATATTGACCTGATTTATTAGAATACTACACATACGTGACAGAAGTTATGCGCTGATGATGGCATACTGTTATTGTTGAAAATGTATTCTTGAAATGAGTTGCTAGTGTGTTTCTTTGTCGTAAACGTTTCGTACTAAGGACAGCTCAATCATAACATTTTCTATACCTACAGTATGAGGTCGAGATGAGACAACTATTTTGAACCTGTAAAACTAAAAGTGCAAACTGTTTAAACTGGTTTGTAGTGTTTATGAAAACAGAAAACAAAAGTAATATATGCCGACATGGAACTTAAAATTTGAAACCTGCGTTTAGATAAACCATCCAGTAGTGTTAGTACTTTGTGTCTTCGATGTTTTCTTGGTACAGGCAGGACTAACAAATATACAGAAGTTAGTTTAATATGTTTTCTGTTTTGGTCGTTTGAAAGTGGTTAAATCTGAAACTCACAACTAGGTGTCTTCGATGTCATCTTGGTACAGGCAGGACTAACAAAGATACAGAAGTTAGTTTAATATGTTTTCTGTTTTGGTCGTTTGAAAATGGTTAAATCTGAAACTCGCAACTAAGTGTCTTCGATGTCTTCTTGGTACAGGCAGGACTAGCAAAGATACAGAAGTTAGTTTAATATGTTTTCTGTTTTGGTCGTTTGAAAATGGTTAAATCTGAAACTCGCAACTAAGTGTCTTCGATGTCTTCTTGGTACAGGCAGGACTAACAAAGATACAGAAGTTAGTTTAATATGTTTTCTGTTTTGGCCGTTTGAAAATGGTTAAATCGGAAACTCACAACTAGGTGTCTTCGATGTCATCTTGGTACAGGCAGGACTAACAAAGATACAGAAGTTAGTTTAATATGTTTTCTGTTTTGGCCGTTTGAAAATGGTTAAATCTGAAACTGACGACTAGGTCATTCTTCCCAAAATATGAAATGCATAAAACTAGTCACTTCAATATTTTCAAATGACACAGACATGCGCATTTTATAAAACATTGTAACATGCGTAATATACTTACTCACCGAGAATTTCGTTACTCATAAAAACCTGTACAAGTAAAGCTTTAAGCGAAACAGGTTGACGGAACTACCCATTCTTGAGCATAATAAAGTTTGAAACTTCACTCAGTAGTTACTTTGTAAGTTGTACAAACATGGTCCATGAGATGCGATTGGTCATTCAACTGTAAGCTATATGACCCTCAGACTTAGAATTTGGGTTCACTTTTATTCTTTTTTCTGTGTGTTTTAAATGTATATGGTATTTCACACAAAATCTCGTCGAAGGGAGGACTGGTTTGAATCGTTTACAAATAGCACTCTGCGTGCTTTTCAGACATAGCGATGTCTTAACCTGACGGCAACCTGTTTGACAGCTTGATATGTGGATGCCGTGACCTCTAACACGCATAAATATAATTTCGGTCTGACCAGATATAAAAATAAACTCTAACACGGATATATAGCGATAGGTGCTGTATGCATTCAAAATTTCCTAAAAAAACAAAAAAAACAAACAAACAAACATAAATGAGCACACACACGTAACCGTATCCGTGCTAAGTTACATAAAGAAGTCCCAAGGCTCGCGGAGCAACGTCGGCAGGCTGTGGAGCGTAAACGTGATGATTTACTACTTTGATCACGGTTCAGAGAATTTTGCTGGCATTAATTACGCAAGTAGGTATGTTAAGCGGTGGGTCACTTTTATTTATGGTGTAAAATCTTGTGAAGTAAACTAGCCAGATTTTAACAAGAGCTTCTAAAGATCTGAGTGTTAAAGAATAACTGTTCTGCTTGAGGTGTCAGTCAACAATGAGGTGTGGAACATTCTTATTTATTTTTCATGTAATTTCACGTTTCATTCATGGTTTATTATTTACTTAATTCTCTAATTGTTACGTGTTGACTCATAAGTCTTGCGATCAATGGGCTCGTTGAAGAAGGAATATAATAGAGTAAGAATTGTAGCTTATTTGTGAATTCAAATCGAGTCCAAAAGCTATTGGAAAATTAAACATTTTGATGGAACTATAACCTGTTAAATATACCGCATTTTTAGGCTTATACCGCACATGCACAATCATTTCTGTTTCGCATGAACTCTTAAAGGTATTGTAAAATGCAATCTTTTGATGAAACTCTAACCTGTTAAATATATCGCATTTTTAGACTTATACCGCAAATATATAACTATGTTTGTGCTGCGCAAACTCTTAAAAATTATTGTTATTATAACTGGGGAACCGCGTTTATTCATCTTATTACGTCATGCAAATGTTTTGAAAAAGATGGTTATCCGATAAAGAACGAAATGGGAACACACAAATATGTAGAGTTGACCAAACCAGTATACTTTTTCACTGTAGAGTTAAATTTTTATCGAAGTGTTAGCTTGTTTGTTTTTGAATTTCGCGCAAAGC